AGAATGCAGTAAGGTTAAAAAAAAAAAAAAAAAAAAAAAAAAAAACCACAACCTTCTGCCTTTACAACCACTTTAATTAGCCCTGGGTCAGTTTCTCTGGTTTCAATCGGGCTCTGGTGACACTGTTATTTCCTGCCCTCTGCCTTGATTTAGGGAGTGATTTGTACGTAAGCAGAGCTACTGATTAGTTGCCTTCAGCTAAACAGTAATGCATCCTGTGCACACTTTTCACCCTACACTGCAGTACAGCAGCTGAGACCAGAGCCTGAATGTGCACATATCCTGTGTCGGATAAGTATTGCACATCTGACAGATGGGTGAAAACAGGCAAGGCTGTTTATTAAAGCGGAGTTCCACTCACCCTGTCAAAAAATAAATGTCAGCAGCAATAAAAAAAAACTGTAGCTGCTGACTTTTAAAAAACAGCCACTTACCTGTCCCTCGGTGTGTCCCCCGCAGCCTGTTTCACCGGCCGTCCTATGTTCCAGGTGCCGGCATCTTCGGTGTGGGCACCCGGCTGTGCCAGCTTGTGGCTTCACAGCTGGGTACCCACTGCGCATGCGTGAGTAGCGCTGCACTTCGTGAATGGTCCTGTAGTCTTCTGGGACCTGCCACATGTCCCAAAAGACTACAGGGAGGTAGGGAGGACACCCTCCACTTCCGGTCGCCTAGGCGATCGGACCGGAAACTTGTCAAATTCGGGTACCCTCCCCCCAAAGCTGCCAATCCTTAATGGGGAGTGGGGGAGCAGTCTTTAAAGCGAAACTTCCTCTTTTGGGTGGAGCTCCGCTTTAAATATACTTTCACTTTAAGATGGATTATTTAAACTTTAGACTGTTCAACAGGATGCATATGCAACATCCAATAAAAAGTAGGTAGGATTCTAAACTAACGTTTCCATTTGCTGATTTAAATGTGATCATGGAAAATATAAATATTCAACCCTTCGTAGCTGGTCTAAAGCAGTCAACATCTGTTCCAACTGCTGCATCTTCTGCCGAGTCACCGCTTGGTTGTTACCGTTCAGATCTGAAAGATCTGCAATACATAAGAAAGAAAAAAATATTTGGCGTTTCTGAACAGGTTCCCCCATGTGAACACATGACAGCAAAATATAGTTATTAAATTACTGTAGCATTGAAAATGGTCTAATGTAGATTTTCAGTTATAGCCTACAAGGACTGCAAGTCAAAACACAACATGAAAGATTTGCACTAGGAAATCACACAATAGCAAGGATTTATTACAGGAAGGAAGCTTTTTTTCTATATGTATATTTCCTTTGTAAAGGAATGTCTGCTCTGCAATCCTAAATAGAACCTGTAACAAATGTAACAATGGCCACCCTCAGTGCACTCCATTGGTTACAAAAAAAAAAAAAGGAAAAAAAAAAAATTAAATCTAGGTAGTTAAATAATAAAGGTAAAAAGGTATGTCAAGGAGAAAAGCCTTTAAAAAAAAAAAAAATGTAAGGCCCATGGGTCACCATCAGCATTACAAAACTACAAAGAATGCAGTAAGAATGTAAGAGTATGATCAGGGCAGCGAAAAGAGATTACAAGTGACACATTGCTGAAGACAGTCAATTGTGGTTTCAGTTTGTTTACAAGACATGCAAGTCTCGCGTTGATCAAATGCTTTGGAGGGCAGAGCAGAGATATTAAAGGTCTAATAGACCCCAGATACAGCGGGTAAAATAAGTATTGAACATGTCATTTTTCTGGGTAACTATATTACTAAAAGTGCTAATGAAATTTTCACCACAGCTTGGCAATAACCCATGCAATCCATACATACAAAGAAACCAAAACAAATAAGTTCAGAAATTAAGTTATGTGTAATAAAATGGAATGACACAAGCAAAAAAGTATTGAACACAGAAAGGGAGGTGCAAAAAAGGCATGGAAAACCAAGACACCAGCTGAAATCTATCAGTAATTATAGCAATCCTGCCCCTTGTCAGTGCAAATTAACATCAGTTGGTTAAGTCTCAACTGACAGCCTATAAAAAGGTGTCTCATTACCAAGGTGTTACACAAGAAAAAGCCCATGATGGGTAAAAGCAAAGAGGTCTCTCAAGACCTTCGCGACTAGAGATGAGTGAATCGAACATGGAGAAGTGGAATTCGTTTCGAAGATCAGGAAAAATTCGATTCGCGCCGAATCCGAAAATTAGCAAACTTCGGATGCACGAATCAAATTTTTCCAAAAATGGCGGCGACATGTGTGGCGACGGAGCGGGGATCTCTGGGAAGGCGCGCAGACAAGGCGGCGCTGACCCATAATGCATTCATTCATGACATGTGATCGCATTAGCCAATCAGCAGCCAGCCAGCAAGCACTGTGTAATGGTGGAGCTATAAATTGCGGCCATCTTAGAATTCTCCATTAGCCTCCGGTCATTCAAGAGAGACAGACCTGTCTGTATTAGGGACAGAGTTAGGGCCACAGAGACTTTAGGGCCACAGAATCGTTACTCAGGGACAGACACAGAATCGTTACTCGGGGACACAGAATCGTTACTCGGGGACAGACACAGAATCGTTACTCGGGGACACAGAATCGTTACTCAGGGACACAGAATTGTTACTCGGGGACACAGAATCGTTACTTTCTGCTTCACAACCACTATTGAATTAAAGAGTATGTCAGACAACACGCAGAGGAGTGGCAGAGCAGGCAATGTTTCAGGAGCGAGCAGACGTGGCAGCAGAGGAAGGGGTCGAGGCAGCACTAGTCGCAGCCAGAGGCCAGTGCTCCCGGTGTCATCCAGCAGTCGTGTCTCCACCGACAACCCTGCCGTCATCGATTGGTTAACTCGGTCGTCTCCTCTTCCCAGGTCACCTCTGACACCTACAAGCCAACGGTCGGTGGGTACGTCAGACACAACCGTTAGTTGGCATGGCCCGGGAGCAAGCCCACTGAAATCACGTGTCCTCTACCTGCCCCTGTCCTTTGGTGTTCCCTCACCAAGCGAAGTATCGCATGCTGTGGGCTCAGCCCCACTGTACAGTGAGGAAGAGCTAACAGAGGGCGGTCAGGAACGGGGGGACATCCGCCTCTTCAGCAGCCAGGCGAAGAAGTACTGGCGAGGAGAGTGGCTCGGTAGCCGGTCTAGAGACAGGTCTGTCTCCTGACCCACACGCAGCCGAGGGGGCTAGTAGTGACGCGGAGACCCTAATTGATGATGATGAGGCTGATCGCACTTGGCAGCCTCGTCGTCATCAGGCTATTGCTTCCGCATCATCAGGAGAAGAGGGTGCCAGCTTGCCAGCGAGCAAAACAGTCGGTGGGTTGCCCAGGAGGCAGCAGGGTCGCAGCAGTGTCAGTGGAGGCAAACGGCCACGGAGTAGAGCACCAGCTCCACTGCAGCCTACCACCACGGCCAGTAGTGGTGCCGGTGTGCACTGAGGAAGTAGCAGTCAGCCAGTGAGGAGTAGCGGGGGCAAAGTTTCCTACTCGGCGGTGTGGCAATTTTTCGTCAAGCCGCCCGAGGAAGTAAACGTAGCCGTATGTCGACTATGTGGCCAGAAAGTCAAGCGTGGCCAGGGGGCCCATGTTGGGACTACAGCGTTGCGTCAGCATATGCAGCGTCGCCATTCGGTGGCCTGGGAAAACCACGATAAAGATACGGCGGTTCTGCCTGCCCCAGCCCCCGCTCCATCACCCGCTCCGTTACTTGCTCCGTCAACCGACGTCAATCGCCCTCTATCAGCCAGTCAAGGCTCCAACACCTCTGCTGAGGGGAGTTGTCGCTCGTTGGCATCTTCCGCTCGTTCAGATGCTCCTTCTCCTGCTACTCCTCTTCACGGATTCCGTCAGCAGTCTTTCTTGGAATCCGTTTCCAAGAGACAACAGTTTGCGAGCACGCACCGACGGTGCAGAAGCTGAACGTCCTCCTGTCCAAGTTGCTGGTGCTGCAGTCCCTCCCTTTCCAAGTGGTGGACTCAGCACCTTTCCGAGAAATGATGGCTTGTGCCGAGCCGCGGTGGAGAGTGCCAAGCCGGCATTTCTTCGCCAAAAAGGCAGTGCCAGCCCTGCATTCACTTGTAGAAGAGATGGTGGGCCAGTCTTTGAGCATGTCGGTCTCTGCCAAAGTGCACGGCAGCGCCGACGTGTGGAGCTGTAACTACGGTCAGGGACAGTACATGTCATTTACAGCCCACTGGGTGAACGTGGTGCCGGCACAGCCGCACCAGCAACTTGGACAGGTCACGCCGCTTTTGCCTCCACGTTTGCACGTCCTTGGTCCAGCAAAGATGTCTGCCTCTACCACCTCTTCTTCCGCCGTGTCCTCAGCCGCCACCCCCGTGCCAAGTCCCATTACCCGTCCAGCATATCACATGTGCAGGGCGCAACGGTGTCACGCTGTGCTGCACCTGGTATGCCTTGGCGAACGTAGTCACACAGGGGAGGAACTTCTCAGTGTAATGAACAGAGAAATCGACAGAAGACTGTCTCCGCGCAAACTGAAAATCGGAACCATGTTGACCGACAACGGAAAGAACATGGTGTCTGCTCTGCGTCAAGGAAGGTTGTGCCATGCGCCATGCATGGCTCACGTGTTCAATCTGGTTGTCAAGCGGTTCCTAAAATCCACCATCCCACTGCAAGACATCCTTAAAATGTCACGTAAACTTTGCATGCATTTCAGCCATTCCTACACCGCAAAGCACACCCTCCTTGAGCTGCAGCGGCAGAACGGAATTCCACAGCATCGCCTGATCTGCGACGTTGCAACAAGACTATCAAGAGTCCAATGGCAGAGTGGCGGAGCAGAAGCAGCTTCAATTGAAGGCCATACACAGGCCTAGGTTTAAAAGTCCCTCACAGTTAATTCCAATAACGAACTCTACTCCTCCGTGCAATCTACTTACGAGACCCTGGGCAGGTCTGGGTCCAACTATTAGTCGTCTCCCCACGCTGCTGCTGGGGGGACTTTTTAACATAGGCCTCTGTATGGCCTTCAATTTTAGCTGCTTACGCTCCGCCACTCTGCCATGGGCCCCTGTACCGCCTCCTCATGCTGCTGCCAGGCCCGTAATCTGCCATGGGCCCCCGTACCGACTCCTCATGCTGCTGCCAGGCCCGTAATCTGTCATGGGACCCTGTACCGCCTCCTCATGCTGCTGCCAGGTCCAGAGTGTGTCATGGGTCCCTGTACGGCCTCCCATTGCTGCTGTCTCCATCGCCACACTCTGCCATGTGCCACTTTCAGGTCTCCTCACACTGCTGGTGGGTTCCATTTTGTCATAGGGTGCTGTATGGCCTCCCATTGCTGCTGCCAGGCTCGTAATCTGCCATGGGCCCCCGTACCGACTCCTCATGCTGCTGCCAGGCCCGTAATCTGTCATGGGCCCCTGTACCGCCTCCTCATGCTGCTGCCAGGTCCAGAGTGTCTCATGGGTCCCTGTACGGCCTCCCATTGCTGCTGTCTCCATCGCCACACTCTGCCATGTGCCACTTTCAGGTCTCCTCACACTGCTGGTGGGTTCCATTTTGTCATAGGGTGCTGTATGGCCTCCCATTGCTGCTGCCTCCACCGCCACACTGTGGCTCCACACTCTGGTTTTGGCCCCGTGACTGCCCAAATGAGTGAAGTGTGCGGTGATTCTAAGATCGACGGCACTCATCTGCATGTCATACTGACTGACAGTATTATTTCTCTTCCCCAGCAGACTCCAAGGGCATTTAAATTAAAGGTACAGTGTTCTGCACTAATATAAAGGCTCTCTGAAGCCTAGAAACACCCTTTTTACACGTTAAATTCGCAGCGAATATATTCGCCTCGAATCGAAATTATTCCGCGAATTCGGCGAATCAGCCGAATCGAATTTTTGAATAATTCGCTCATCTCTATTCGCGACCTTATGGCATTGGTTACAGAAGGAAGGATTTCTAAACGCCTGAATGTTCCAGTGAGCACTGTTGGGGCCATAATCCGAAAGTGGAAAGATCATCATTTCATCCTCAACCGGCCAGGACTAGGTGCTCCCCACAGGTTGTTCTGACAGAGGAGTGAAAAAATTATCAGAGGAGGTGTCCAAGAGCCAAGGACCACTTGTGGAGAGCTTCAGAAAGACCTGAAATTAGCAGATACAATTGTTTTTTCAAAGAAATCTGCTAATAAGTAATGCAAAGAGAAAATAAGTAATGCAACAACATGGCCTGTATGCACGGTCAGCATGCAAGACTCCACTGAAGGAAAAGCATGTTGAAGCTCGTTTAAAGTTTGCTGCACAACATTTAGACAAGCCTGTGAAATACTGGGAGTATATACTCTGGTCAGATCAGAGCTTAATTTAATTTTCTGGATGCCATAATACACACCATGTTTGGAGGTCAAATGGCACTGCACATCACCTCAAAAACACCATACCAACAGTGAAGTTTGGAGGTTGAAATATCATGGGATGGGGTGGTGTTTCAGCATACGGTACTAGCCAACATCATGTCATTGAAGGAAGGATGAATGGAAAAATGTACCAAGACATTCTTGATAAAAATCTACTGCCATCTACCAGGATGATGAAGAAGAAAGGAGGGTGGACATTTCAGAAGACAATGATCCCAAACACAAAGCCAAGGAAACTCAATTGGTTTAAAAAAATAAAGCTCCTAGAATGTATAAACACGAATATATGCAGCGCTAAAAACATCTGAGAAATGGAACCGAAATACAATTAGTAGTATATGGTGAATATTATAGTGAGCCAGAGCACAGAGAATGTGATGCCGCTAAGACCATCAGTCAGTGCCACAGTCTCATATATAAATGCGTCCAAGGTGCAAGTGATATAATCGGCGACAATAGTAAATCAATCAAAATGACATGGTGAGGAAAAACTGTGACTCCTGTGGCTGTAAACAGATGTGTGTTGATTGCACTAACCAGACGGCGCAATCTCATGCGCATTGGAGTATACTTAAGACCTACTCCTGGTCATCTGGATATGGGACACTGTAGCATCAGGTCATCAGGCCAGCAACATCCAGGTAACACACATCAGGAGGGGATATCCCATCTCCGGGTATTCAGTCATCAACCATCAGGGGGATCACACACATTCTCATATGCCCAATCAGCAGAATTCACCTTAGAAAAAGGGGGGGCTCGCAAAACAAATCAGGCCCCCAGAGGGAAGAATCTAATAGTGTAGTATTTATTGATACTCAGTGGTATATAGCACAGATGAGTAGCAGATGAGTGACTTACATCAAAATGGGATTCCAAGATGGCTGCCGGCACCTCCTAACGCGTTTCATGTAAATACACTTTTTCAAAGGGAGTGTGCCAGTCCAAATGTCAATCTATTTATAGCGTCCGATGCGCATGTGCAGTGTAGCGCCGCCACATCGCGGACTGTTCGCGCATGCGCGATGCGTGCGGACGGCGGCCATTTTACTGGAGATCACAACACAGTAGCAGCAATTGAAGACATCTCAAGAGCAGAGTTCCATTCTATTGGATTATATAGGTAAAATTAAAAGGTAAGTGAATGTATATATCGCCACTAGCGATCCAGAGATGGAACTATATAAGAGATAATTCAATTAGAGGATATATGAATGGTGAATCCACATATTCACCATTAAAGTGTGGACATTAAGCCCAAATTATCAAAAAGGGAAAAGAAGGTCTCAATTAATGAGCCTGTGGGACTATAAGAAGGAACCGCTGCCTAGGATGGCTAAATTCAAAGAGAGTGTGCCAGTCCAAATGTCAATCTATTTATAGCGTCCGACGCGCATGTGCAGTGTAGCACCGCCACGTTATCGCGGACTGTTTGCGCATGCGCGATGCGTGCGGATGGCAGCCATTGAATAACCCCTCGCTTCGTGAAGCGATTAATCCCAGCTATTGTGGTTTAAAAACCTCTAATTTAAAAAATGCTTTGCTTTTTAACCCCCCAGCTCATTCCCATATTAATATTTTAAAGAACATGGCCCTTAAAGATTTAGAAAACTTGAAAATAAACAAATTGGAATAACCAGACAATCAGAAACAGATGGATATGATGATTAAAAATTTATTAGAAACTAACAATTTGGTAATCCGCCCTGCAGACAAAGGCGGAGGAGTGGTGGTAATGGACAAAAGGGATTAACTCTCACAAGTGTATAAGATTCTTGATGACAAATATACATATATGGAATTACAGACCAACTCTCTTATTCCATATAAAAAATCCTTAAAGGCAATAATACAAAAAGGGTTTAACACAGGGATCCTAAATAAAAAAAGAGGAGTATCTCTGTCCTATGGTCCCTAAACTGCCAATACTCTATTGTTTGCCTAGTCAACCCCCCAGGCCGCCCGATAATCAGCAGGATAGGCTCCCTTTGTTCCCATGTGGGGGAATATATTTATTCTTTCCTCCAACCTCTAGTCTGCAGCACCCCAGCATTTCTTAAAGACACTAAACAAGTCTTGATGGATATTAAAGAAATTAGATTGCAACATCCAACTTTCCTAGTTGCGGCAGATGTTGCTGCCTTGTACAGCAACATTAACATGCTTATGGTTTAGCTGAGGCTGAGTATTATCTTAATATAGCGGAAGACATACCTAATCTACAAAAAACACTTCATATTAGAATTATTAGACTTTGCTATGAGCCACAACTATTTCTGGTTTAGTGACAAATACTATCTGCAGACTACAGGTGTCACCATGGGAGCTAAGTTCGAACCTAGTCTAGCTAACCTGTTTATGTCTAGATGGGAGGAAGATCTGATATATTCAAGGGATTGGCCATACTTGCTGTTTTATCGTCGATACATCAATGATAATCTGTTACTCTGGGAAGGGGATGAGTTTTACACTAAAAAATTTTTTTACTACCTTAAATTATAATGATCTTAACATCAAACTAACTTTCCAGTATGATTATTCTGAAATTAATTTTCTGGATCTAACTATTTATAATGACGGTGTAGGGATCTCTACCAAAAGCTTTTTCAAAACGACTGATAGAAACAGTTTCATCCAGAAGGATAGCTGCCACCATCCTAAGTGGTTGGACAATATTCCAAGGGGTCAATTCCTACGGATACATAGAAACTGTGAGGATGCTGGATTGTAAAATATAATCTTCCTGTTTAGCAAACATAGGTTCATTGAAAAAGGCTATAATGCCGTAGCACTTGACGATGAAATAAGTAGGGTCAGGAAAATAAACAGAGTAGATCTGCTTACCTCCAAGAACAAAGTCCACATGGAGAGATTTTGCCCGTTTATTACTAATTTTTCGACCCAATACAAGGACATTGCCAGAATCATTAGAAAAAACTGGAATATTTTAAAAAACGACCCGTTCTTGGGGAGTTCTCTACCAGACTTTCCAGAAATAACTTATCGGAAAGCACCTTCTCTTAGAAACAAGCTAGCCCCTATTATTGTTAATCCCCCGCAACAACTATCTTTTTTCTTTAACCGTAAGGGTTTTTATCCGTGCAACAGATGCATGTTGTGTGTAACGGCATCCATAAGAACCCCGTAAAAACATTTCGCTCCAACATAACAGGTAGATCTTATGATATACAATCAACCATAACATGCAATAGTACACATGTAGTCTACCTTCTGGAATGTTCATGCGGCAAGCAGTATGTTGGCAGAACAACCAGAAAATTAAGAGATAGGCTACATGAACATCTGAAGAACATCAAAAAAGGTTTTAAAGGAGCATTCCCTGTCCATGCACTTTCGTCAATCACACAGTAGAAATCCATATTCCTTGAAATTTATGGGGATTGACATAATTAATAAGCATTGGAGAGGGACTTACAAAAGGAGATCGGTATCCATGTTAGAAACCAAATGGATATTTTTATTGCAAACATTTTCTCCCCATGGTTTGAACATTGATTTAGATATCAATTGTTTTATTGATACTAGCCGATTCTCCTTTTTAGAACCATTTATTTTATATTTCTTGGAGTGGATATTTTAATTTTATATATATATATTTTTTTTTTTATATATTTGTCATTTTTTTCATATTTCTAGCTTTGTAATATACATTTATTTATTACATACCTTATTGACTATATTTGGGACGTGACGAATCCATTTATCAGGTTCATATTACCTATCCAACTAGTATATCGATGTGCTTATCAAGGAATTATTTTCTGAGGTCTACATCAGGGGAATATAGCTTCTTGGGACACATAGCCATGTCCCCCCTCCTTTTAATATAATTTTATTCTCCCTGATTTAGTTCTATTTGTTTTTTATATATACTCTTTTGATATATATTTTTTATATATTTACCCACATCAACTGGATCCTTGGGGGTTGCATACACCGCAATTTATGTCCAGTTTTATTTCTATTTACATTTTATTTTAATTTTAATGTTTATTCTTAATAAATGTTGCTTTTATATTGAGAGTTAAAAACCCCCTTTTTTAAGTTGTTATGGATCTATTTTATTTGTATTACTACCAACAATCACGTAAATTTATGCTTAGATTGTAAAATAATCATACACATTGAGTTTGTCAATTTCTGAACAAAATTTCAGAGTTGTTTTGCCTTTCTATGTAATTATATTTTAGGCACCTCTGTTATATCAATATTTATGGTTCATATGATATTTTGTACACACCTTTGATGTTAAATGTAGTAGAATTTAGCCATCCTAGGCAGCGGTTCCTTCTTTACTTGTAGTCCCACAGGCTCATTAGTGGAGACCTGCTTTTCCCTTTTGATAATTTG